ATCTTCTTCTTCGTCTTCGAGGGAGCGTACGACGAGGACGAGACGCCCAACGAGCTCTTCCCCGTCGAACCCATGCTGGCCTCTCCCCCCTCCGGCCCTCCCTGGCTGCCGGCCGACGGAGGGTTCTGCCTCGACCCCCTCCTCTGATGACCCCTCTCCGCCTCGAGCTCCTTGGTCGCGCTGCTCAGCGTCGTGTACCCGCCGCCCCCGAACTTGAAGACCACCTTCATCCCGCGAGCGTGCAGGACACCAAAGCCAAAGTTGATGCTCATGGAGATCCCAGAAGATATCTTGCCGTTTATCTCGTTCAAAAGGTGTTTCAGGCACGTCTGTACCACGTCCTTGCTCAGCACCTTGGAGTACTGCAAGGCAATCCTCGAATAGTTGATGTCCTCAATGGGTTCCAGCTTCCTCTTCAGGATCACCTCCGTGTGGATCCCATAACGCCTGGCGAACTGCTCGTTCAGCACGAACACCGGGGTGATGCTTCCGCTCGGTCCGGTCGACAGGGTGAACTTGCCGAAGTTTGCCAAAGCTGCTCCACGGTTCACCCGAAGCTGGCTATCGATCCACTTCATGGTCGCCAGCCAGGCCGTGAGGTACGCGCTCTTCGTCAAGTTTGGGTTCACCTTTCTCACCCTCTTGGCGCAGTCCTCCGCCAACGAAGTCAATTGGTCCGTCATCACGACGACGACGACGACGACGACGACGACGACGAGGAGGAGGAGGAGGAGGCTACGTTATAGGCGAAGCAAAACGTAGCTTGCGAATGAGTTGTTGTTGTTGTTGTTGTTGTTGATGCCAAAAAGGTTGAATCTTGGTCGAGTCTCGCCCCAAGGGTGGCCACGGGGTTTGTCCTTAAGCCGAGTTCGGTCAAGCCTCTGCCTTGTTGACCCTCTCTCACTCACTCAGGTTTTTTCCTTCTCTTCTCCTTCTTTTTTTCTTTCTTCTCCTCGCTGGTCAAATATTTCTGCTTCAACACAAGAATAAACAAACACGAGGAGGAGGAGGAGGAGGGAGTGGTGGAGAAGGGCAACAGGGCAACAGGGAAGGGAGAGAGAGAGAGACCGGGATCTAAGGAATGACTCTTGCTTGCTCTCCACTGCTTTCGATGGGTCAAGAAATGGATTGTTTTTTTGCTTGCTTGCTTTGTAACGCACGCGGCGGTCTCGTGTCGGGGCAAGGATGATGATGAGGAGGAGGAAAGGCTTGTCAGGGCACAAAGAAACTGAAGAGTGATGACATTTGTAACTACATTTTGCTTATCCAGCTTGATAGTGATAACTGCATCTACATCTTGCTTATATCTAGTCTCCTAAGGCTTGCTTGACCTGACATAAGGTCTCCCACCTCACTCTTCCTCCTTGACCTTGACAATGGAAGGGGCCGTCTTGCTTGGTCTTCTCTTCGACGAACGACGAGGTTTGCAGAGCCCGACCTCTTCTAGGTATTCTCTCTTCACAATACATTGCTGCCTGTCACTCAGCTTAAGAGATGCGTCCGCAGAGATGATCCTCAACGCCTCGTTGTAGTCCGCGATCTCCCTCTTCTTCTCCGGCGACTTGCTGTCATAACGCTGGGCCTCCTGCACGGCTTCGGCGTACTCCTCCTCCGTCATCAGGCCGGACTCGAGAGCCTCTCTCAAATCCAAAGCATAGGGAGAAGGAGAAGGAGAACTTGTTGTGTTGCTGTTGCTGTTGTTGGCGGTGGCGGTGGCGGTGGTGTTGGAGTCCTCCTCATTCAGGTTGTCAGTGGTTGATCGATTCAAGTATTCCTTGGCGATTGCGTATATGTTGCCGGTGCAGTGCGAACAAAGCGGGAGCTCTGTGAACAAGCAGAGCTGACAGTGGCCCGCATTTTCTCTTCAGATCAGTAGAAACAGAGCCATCTCTCCACCTGAACACATATAGCTTCTTGGCCCGGATCCGGGCAAGGATCTCTTTGGCGCGCAGGCTCCTCTCTCCAGCATCTTGAAGAACGCAATAAATGGCATCCCGAAGCGTTCTCCTTCCATTTCCAGTCTTGATAGGAAGTGCGTTGCCTCTCATCATAGTCACCTGCACCTGCGATGACCCAGGCTGAAAGGACGAACCCGCACCACCACTAGTATCCTCCTCACTGTCGCTCTCCTCTTCGATGATGGTGGTGGAGCCCGTCAAGAAGCTTGCCAAAGGCTCCCCGTCCATGTCCATGGCGGTGACACCTGGGGGCAACCCTCCTCCCTTGTCGTCATCACCACCGTGGTCGGCCCTCGTCGCCGCGATCATCGACCTGGTACTTACAACCGATCCTACAACCGATTGCGGAGACAAAATTTATCAAACCTTTGAATGCAGCTCTCAAGGTTGATTTACGATCAATGATCGGCAGAGAGCAAGGAGCGATCGCGATCGATCACAAGACGGGCACACACGGACGGCGGCGACGACAGACAGAAGCACGGGATCGATCGTCGGGAGGAAGAAGAGCGCACACGGACCGGACGGCATCCCCACCTCGTCTGTAACGCTTCTTAAGGCCGCGACGACTTGCTTGACGTAACGGCCTGAAGCGGTCGACGACTTGACGCGGGGATGGCGGGTTCAAGAGGTTTTGCCGCCCTGGCTGCGGTGGCTGCGGTAGTGGTGGCGGTGCTGATCGGGTCGGGCGAGGCCAGGGCGATCGTGAGCGGGTTCACCACGGAGGAGGACCTGAGGAAGCTGTTTCAGCTCTCGGAGGCGGAGATGCCCGAGGTGTACCTCGACATGAACGTGGAGACGACGGCGGACTTTCTGAACTTGAGCAGGAGGGAGGCGACCCTCGCGTCCTTCCTGGGCACTGATCCGACCGCCGCCGCGGGGAACGACATCACTACCGAGACCGTGGTGAGCTGCGACCCCGAGTACTCCGTCTTCGGGACCCTGGAGCGCGGGGGTGGCAACCTCGGCGCTTACGACTTTGACCTGACCGTGAGCGCCCTGGAGGGCACCGGCATCTCCGCCCTGCTGGAGGCCAAGCCGGAGGCCGGGGACTTCAAGGCGTACGTCCTCGTCGCCCCGACCGACTCGGCTTGGGTGAAGCTCAAGCAGCAGCTGGAGGCGAGCCCCTCGTCCGAGAGCGAGGCCTTGCCCCTGCAGTCTCTCCTGACGTACCAGATCTACGGGGAGACGAACCAGACCCTGTTCAACGCGGTCAAGGACGTGGTGAACGGGACCTTCTTCGCGGACGCCCCGTTCTCCTTCTTTCTGAACGTTCCCATCGACATGCTGGACGGGAACGCCACGGTCCTCTCCACGGGCAGCACGAGCGGCGTCCCGCCGGAGCTGAACGGGTCGCCGATCCTCGCCCTCGAGCCGGCCTGCAACGGGGTGATCCTGGCCGTGGACGACGTCCTCCTCCCCGGGGCAGCGGTGAAGCAGTACATGGGGAGGCCGGAGGACATGGCGCCGGCCCATGGAGGGTGCTCCGACGTCGTGCCCCCCTCCCCGCTCGGAACGGAGTGGACGTGCCAGGACCAGAAGTACTGGGGCAAGTGCCAGGAGTACTGGATGTGGGCCGGGGACTACTGCAAGCAGACCTGCGGGTACTGCGGGCTTGACGAGTTTCCTTACGCCTACGGCGGGGCCGCGGCCGCGTCCCGGAGCAGGGAGGGCGACGGGCAGGAGGAGGAGGAGGCCCCCACCAGGTACGTCGACCCTTGCGCCTGCAGCCCGGACGGGGTCTCCGGGGGCGTGTACACGGGCGTCGCGGGCTGCGACACGATGACGGCCTCCCAGCTGATGGGCATGGCCTACGCGTCCTCCGTGTCGGACTCCAGCGCGGCCATCAACGTGGGAAGGCAGTTTGGGTCCCGGTTTGACGGAATCCTCCCGGGGGGGACCCCGGAGTTCAACTACTGCTACGTGGTGCAGCCGGGAGAGTGCAGCCAGGTGTACACCGAGCCCAGTCCCTTCTTCGAGGGCGTCAGGTGGAGGTTCTGCTGAGGAGGAGGAGGAACTTGAGGGGAGGGGGAATTTAGTAACGTCAAGTAAAGTCAAGAAGGAGGCGTGTGTGTCAATGTAGTAACACAGTAGTCAGTCAAGCGTGTGTCAATTTCGTTTCGTTTCGTTCAGGATAGGTCTTGTTTTGGGTTTGTCCGTGGGGATAGGACGTCTTATCCCTTAAGAGGGAGGATTAATAGGATCGAGGATGAAGATGATCTCATTTCGGTAGCAGCTGCAGGTTCTGCTGGTTGGAGGAGGTGAGGTCACCTTGAGATTTTGCAGTGGTTGCTTGAGGGGTGCGAGGGGTGCGAGTTGGATGTGAGGTCACCTTGATGTTTTGCAGTGGTTGCTTGAGGAGCAAGGGGTGCGAGTTGGACGAGAGGAGGAAGGAGAGGGGCAGTCAGGGGATGCGGGCGGGCGATTCCGAGTTCCAAGGCCCTCGGGTGCCTCCTTCTGCGACCCACCTCCCCCTGCATCAGAAGACTCCATCGCGGCGACGAGAATCATCGACTCCTCATCGAGGCAATTGTTGATGAGCTTGACCTCCTCGGTTCGACAAGCTGACTTGCAGAGCTCCATGAACTTTGCTGTTTGCTCGGCAGACCAACGATTGACGTGGTCTGCGTCGTTGATTTCGTCGAACTTGCGCTGGAACGCCTTCACCTGGTCTCGGCATTCCTCCTGGTCGAACCTCCCCGACACCATTCTCGTCCCATCGCTGGCGTCTCGCCTCGTCCACCAGTGTAGGGTCGTCACTTCTCCCGTGGGATAACACGATTTGCTTCTCCCCTTCGCTCCATCTGGGAGCCCTCTTCTTCGTCGCCCTCCCCTTCTTCTTCGGGTGGTGCTTGACCAAGACCATGGTCCTCTCTCCAGCTCCCGCCAGGTCACACACCTCCTCGCCGTCGTCGTCGTCCTCGTCGTCAGCCGTTACCATCAACGATCTCGTTTCCCGGCGGCTCTCTCTCGACCGTCGCATCTCGAACCGTAACTAACGTCTCTCACCGAATCATTGTCTCACGGAGCATAAATATAAGTTGATTCCTCCGAGGATCGAACTCGGCACCTTTCGCGGACAAACTGAAATGTTGTTAGGCGAATGTCATAACCAACTAGACCAAGGAATCCCTGTATCCCAAGTGGGATTTCAACTGTCGAAATCTTCGGAATTACAATATATATATCCCTGGGACGGTAGGTTTCCCCATGTGGAAAACCTACTCTCAAGACTCGCGAGATTCCCCGTCTTATCCAGAATCTCGTCCAATCCCCAGCCCCCCCCCAAATCCGATCCGCAATCCGATCCATTCAGGATCGAGAGATCGATCGAACCGCCGGCGACACCTCTGTGACCCACGACGACGACGACGACGACAACAGAAGGAGGAAGGAATAGAATGACTTCGTTTGCATCGGGAAGGACCACCGGCCTGAAGGCCAAGACCGCCACCTCTTCACCCACGAGGGTGACGACGAGGGCGCGCCGCACCGTGGCCAAGGCCGGGGACAGCGTGTGGTACGGGCCGGACAGGCCCAAGTGGCTCGGGCCCTTCTCCGATGGGGCTGTGCCCTCTTACCTTTCCGGGGAGTTCGCCGGGGACTACGGCTGGGACTCGGCCGGGCTCTCCGCGGACCCGCAGACCTTCGCGGCGTACAGGGAGTGCGAGCTCATCCACGCCAGGTGGGCCATGCTCGGCGCCCTCGGGTGCGTCGGGCCCGAGATCACCGGGGACGGGATGGCCCCCAACCCCTGGTTCAAGCAGGGAGCCCTGATCTTCGCGGACGGCGGGCTCGACTACCTCGGGAACTCCAACCTGGTCCACGCCCAGAGCATCATGGCCATCTTGGGCTGCCAGGTCGTCCTCATGGGACTCGCCGAGGCCTACAGATCCAACGGAGGCCCAGCCGGCGAGGGGCTCGACTCCCTCCACCCCGGTGGGTACTTCGATCCCCTCGGGCTCGCTGATGACCCGGACACCTTCGCGGAGCTCAAGGTCAAGGAGATCAAGAACGGAAGGCTCGCCATGTTCTCCATGTTCGGGTTCTACGTCCAGGCCATCGTCACCGGAAAGGGACCCGTCCAGAACTGGCAGGAGCACATCGCGGACCCATACGCCGTCAACGGGTTCACCGAGGTCTTCGCCACCAAGTTCACCCCTAACTAAGCAGCGCTGCGCTGCGCTGCGCTAAAGAAGAAGAAGACAACAACTCGATTCAAACAAACAAAAAAAGAATCCATGCATTCAACCAATTCCAACGATGCTTTCGTCGTCGTCGTCGTCTCTCTCTCTCTCTTCTTCTCTCTCTTCTTCTCTCTCTTCTTCTTCTCTCTCTCTCCTTTACAGCTCGTCGGGCAGGCAGAAGCCGTCGCTCTGCTCGCTCCTGCTCAAGGTCAAGGAGATCAAGAACGGAAGGCTCGCCATGTTCTCCATGTTCGGGTTCTACGTCCAGGCCATCGTCACCGGAAAGGGACCCGTCCAGAACTGGCAGGAGCACATCGCGGACCCATACGCCGTCAACGGGTTCACCGAGGTCTTCGCCACCAAGTTCACCCCTAACTAAGCAGCGCTGCGCTGCGCTAAAGAAGAAGAAGACAACAACAACTCGATTCAAACAAACAAAAACAAAAAAAGAATCCATGCATTCAACCAATTCCAACGATGCTTTCGTCGTCGTCGTCGTCGTCGTCTCTCTCTCTTCTTCTCTCTCTTCTTCTCTCTCTTCTTCTCTCTCTCTCTCCTTTATTCATTTAAAGACTACTACTACTACTACTAAAACTACTAAAACAGCTCGTCGGGCAGGCAGAAGCCGTCGCTCTGCTCGCTCCTGCTCTCGCTCAGCAGCGAGTCCCTCTTCAAGCTGTTGTTCGACTGCCTCCTGGACAGGCTCGACGGGAGGAAGACTCCCGTGCCCGGGCTGCTCGGGGACCCCCCGAAGAAGCTCTGCTGCTGCTGGTGCTGCTGCGGGTGCTGCTGCTGCGGGTTCCCGGGGTAGTACGGTGGGGGGCTGAAGCTCTGCTGTTGCTGCTGCTGCTGCTGCTGCTGCTGGTGGTGGTGGTACTTCAACCCTCGCTGGACCCCCCTGCCCCTGTTGCCGTACGGCGACCCGTGGGGAGGCGTGCTCTGCTGCTGGTGCTGGTGGTACTGGTACTGGTACGGGCTCTGCTGCATCGCGTACATCTGGCTCTCGCCGCTGAACCCGTGGGGCGAGATCGGGGACACGGGGGAGTGCGCCTGCCTCGACCACTGGAGGGAGCCCTGGCTCTGCTTGGGGGGAGGGGTCCAGATGGGGGCCGACGCGTCCAGGCCGCTCGACCTGCTTCCCACGCTCAGCCTCCTCTCCCTCTCCGCCGCTACCGCGGTGCTCTCCACCGGCGACCCGTACTTGGCTTTACTGCCCTGCCACGAGGACGTCATCCTTCTTTGGGGCTGCAGCTACGAACAACAGACAGACCCCAGAGAAAAGAAAAACAAGGAAAAAACGAAGGAACCGAATCGATCGACTCGCGCTGTCGGTTCGATTCAGTTGAGGTCCAAAAAACGCAACGCCGCGTCTCGGTCCCAACCCTTCTCGCTCGCTCGCTCGCTCGCTCGCTCTTGTGGTGGTGGCAAGCCTCTCTCTCTCTGTCTCTCTCTGTCTCTCTCTGCCACCTCTGGGAACAGGCCAGGTGGCGAATGAACGACGAAGGCGAACCCGTTCGATCGAGGAACTCCGCCGATGCACGCGTATCTCCCTCTCCGCTTCTTCCTCTGCACAACTCACGATACCGATGCCTCTCGGGACCTTTGAAACCCAACAATCCTAAGGAATAAATCCTTTTCCACCTTCTTTCCTCGTTCCACAGGACGCCAAATCTCTCGACCGAGGGGTCCACGGAAAGCGCACGAGACGACCGAAGAGACCAAGCACACAAGAGAGATGCGTTCCCACACGACAACCCCGCCGACGGAGGGTGTTCCGTGTTGCCGCAGGAATCAAGTAATCCGCCTAATGCGCGTTCGCGTCGCGTCCGCGTCTTTCTGTTTTTTTTTTTTTTTTTTTTTTTTTTTTGATCATCACATGCCCGTGTCAGAGACCGCGTAACGTAAGACCGCGTTTGCACTGGAACCTCCCGGGAGCCACAAACGACGCGTCAGCCAGAGGTGGCAGAGAGTAGCGGGGACCGTGTTATTGCCGAGGATGGTTTGGTGTTTGAACAAGACGGTTATTAGGTGTACGAAAGGAGGGACACTCGAGAATAGATCCAAGGGCGAAAATCCCGAAACGGCCGATCGATCAGAGGGGAAAGAACAGACGAGGGCTTGGAGCGCGCGCGGCGGGGAGAGAGAGAGAGACAAGGAGGGAGTACAAGAAAGAAGAGGAATCTTTGTCGTCGTCTTCGTCTCTTCTTCTTTCGATCGAGCCGTCTCTTGAAAGGAACGACGCTCTGACGAGGATCTGACGACGACGCGAAGACGCGGGCGAGCACCGAGGAGGAGGGGAAAGAACAGACGAGGGCTTGGAGCGCGCGGCGGGAAGAGAGAGAGAGACAAGGAGAGGACAAGAAAGAAGCGGAATCTTTGTCGTCGTCGTCTCTTCTTCTTTCGATCGAGCCGTCTCGCGAAAAAAACGACGCACGCTCTGGGACGCGGGCGAGCACCGAGGAGGAGGGGAACAGAGGAAGCGACGAGGGCTTGGAGCGCGCGGCGGAAAGAGAGAGAGAGAGAGACAAGGAGAGTACAAGAAAGAATCGGAATCTTTGCGGAAGCTTCGTCGCTGCTTGAAAAGGCGGCGAGCATCCTCGTGATCCCCACCAGGAAAGAAAGAAGCAGAGAACGGAGGAGGCCAAGCACGCGTTGGAAGTGCTGCCAGGGAACGCGTGGCTCCTGATCTTCAAGAAGCTCAGCTCCTACGACCATGTCGCCTTCGCCTCGACCTGCAACACGTTCCTCGAAGTGGCGAGCCCAGAGAAGAAGAAGAAGAAGAAGAAGAAGAAGAAGGCTCTTTCCCTGAGGACGGACCTGACAAACAAGACGTTGTTCAACCAGATGCCTTGCTTCAGTTTGAGTTGGTTCCAGTGGGTGTTTCACTCTTTCAAGAGGAAGAAGGGAGAACCGCAACGCTGGGGAAGGGGAAAGTACTACGACCACTTGTACGACTCTGACCTGATGCAACTCGCCGCTTTCCAGGGCAGCATCAAGGCGATCAAGTGGTTGAGGAGCCAAGGGGGTATCCCTCTGGATATAAAAGGTAAGGATCATGAGATAGCAGCTCCTTCAGGAGCCGCTGCCGGAGGTCATATTGATGTTCTGGAATGGCTGAGGAGCGAGGGGTGCGGGTTTGATCGGTGGACTTGCCGTGGTGCAGCCATGGGAGGTCACCTTGATGTTCTGCAGTGGCTCCAAAGTCAGGACCCGCCTTGTGATTGGAACGAGTGGACTTGTGCTGGTGCAGCTCAATTTGGTCACCTTCACATTCTGCAGTGGGCTCGAAGCCAGGACCCGCCTTGCCCTTGGAACGAGTACACTTGTTCTTATGCAGCTCAATTTGGTCACCTTGACGTTCTGCAGTGGCTCCGAAGCCAGGATCCCCCTTGCCCTTGGAACAGCGAGACTTGTTATAAGGCAGCTGAAGGAGGCCATCTCGAAGTTCTGCAGTGGGCTCGAAGCCAGGACCCGCCTTGCCCTTGGAACAAGGAGACTGGTTCCTTCCATCCATTCCCAATCAACCCCTCTTGCCATATCGTCGGATTCCATCTCCATCTTCTCCTCATCTCTTCATTCATTCTAGAGGCCAGCAGCCTCCGGAGGATCATCTCACCACCATAATAATCATCAGAATCAGAAGAAGAGGCTCGGCTCGGCTCCGGCCCGTCGCACACCAAAACAAACCAACAAACCAACGACGTCAACCATGAACGGCGGCGGCGGCGGTCACCACGACGACAGCCGATCGAACCCTTCCGTCCTCCGTCGCGCGCGGCGCGCTTTGGCTCGGTTCACTGGCCTCGGCAGCCCCAGCTACGACGAGTTGGACGAGGAGGTGGAGTTCACGAAACTCAGCAACGACGACGGTGAGGATGCCAACGACGACGATGCCGAGTCTGAGGCCGAGGACGAGATGCTTTACCGCTCCTCCTCGCCTTCTT